CTGTGCATTCACTGCAGGAGACTGGGTTAAGCCACCGTCTCCCAGACCTGCCGGCTCCTTCTGCCCGGCCCGACACAGAGGTGCCTTTGTCACTCTAATTACCCTCCCCTTGTAGTAGAAATAGTTTGTTTAGAGCCTTATTCGCAGGTAGAGCTGGTATAAGCAGGAATTAGCATGTTAAAGAACCTGCCCCTGCGCTGACTTGCGCTTATTTATCCCCATCCTTGACAGTCGAGGAGGGGTTGGGTTGGGTTTGGTTGTTTTTTTCCCCTCCCTGGGTCTATTCAGTGAGATACTACCCGAGATTAAGAGCTTTAAGGTTATTACAGGGGTTGAAGATGGAGCCAACTGGCGCATGGCGTGGTGTGGAGGATCTCCTGACAATTTCATGCCTGGCAGGTCCTCCCCTTGGCTGCCAGAAGAAACGGGGGCGGCTGATCCCTTAGGATCCATTAAAACTCCCTTTTGGCTTTCAGCCCCTTGTCCACATCAAAAAGGTGCGAGGAGGAACTTTTTTTTTTCTTTATTTTTTTTTTTTTTTTCCTCCTCCATTATAAAACAATAGTGATTTGAGTTGTTTGAACAAAAGGCTCTTCCGGCTGCCAGCAGAGGCTATTCTGAGCCACCTGACGTTGAATTAAGCTGACCCATTCAAATGTAACAAATCCGTTGAGTAGCTGATACTTCACTCCGAATTCTGACTTCTTCTGACAGGCTTTGGGATCTGTCTCAGGAATCCTGTGTGCCCTCGTGGTACTACCCTTGGCAGCGGTGCCTGGCGTTTGGGATGTCCTGGATGCTCGTGGTGAAGGGTTACTGGCCAGCGGACATCCCTCCTGTTCTACACTACGCTCCTGTGCAGCTGGAAGAACAGTCGTGCGCTAGCAAGCACTGGGACTTCTGCACAGAGCCGTTCCTGTAATTGACTGCTAGATAGTTGGATACATCTTTAGCGTAAACACTACTGCAGCTGCTCTGCACATGTAGGCTGACACAGGGGCACACAGAGCTGGCTTTCATTCACTCACCTTTCAGTTTAGACAATTAAGATGGCTGCAGCCCAGAGGACCCCCACCCCCATTTCCTCATCTTTTGAATGCCACAGATCTGTTTTGTGTTCTGCACTGATGTAAATGTGCTCCTCTCTGCAGCGAGCTACTTGCCATGGGTGCTGTCGGTTTAAACAGAACTCACAGATGCCGTTGACAGTAAAGGCAAAACAAAGTTTACAGGTCCTCCTGGTGTCTGAGGATAAACTCTAGGGGCTGTGATCTATGGTTCAAATCTACTCATGCCTGCTTGCACTAGAGAAACTTACCCCCAACTGTAGTATTATGCACAATATAATCTTAAAAATCCAATCAGGTATTGTAAATTGGCTATTTTGTACTTGACGACTAGATTTGCATACGTACTGTGAGAGCCCTGTGCAGAGGCAGGACAAACGGCAATTGTCGTCTTCATGTCTGTTGCCAAAATCTCTTCAGTGGAAGTAAAAAGGGCTGTTGTGTGTACTGGTTTCCCATGGAAATCCAAGCAGTAACTAGTAGTAGTCCTAGCTCTTCCCTCAGCCCTCTCCATTGTTTATTATAAAGAAATAGATATTTTGAGCTGTACTGGTGGACCTGGGGTGGAGCAATACCAAGTTAAGGCTCTGTAGCCCCTAGTGTCAATAGTTTGCTTTTTAATCTAGTCTCAGTTAAAAACGCTGCTCAGTGGTTTTGCCTAGCAGGTCGGTGTGAAGAGAGGACTTCACAGTCTGCCCTTAGGAAGGACTAAATGTTATCTTTGGGTAAATGTCACGCATTAACAGAGTGAACTGATTAAATGTCCTGTTGTAGTCCTGTTACCCTGCAAAATGAGCTGAACCCTGTATTGTGAGAGCATCCTGGGCCAGGGCATCTTCCTGGACAACTCTTGACTGTTGTCTGGCCAAGTTCCAGCTGGTACCAACAGTAGCTTGTCAGAGGTGAGCCAATGCTGCAGATGTCTTCTGAGGCCTGTGTGTGAAACAGCAGTGTGCAAAACAGCGCTACTGGGACTGGGTTTGTGATGGCATTGGCAACAATACAGGTAATTGACCTAATCGCTTTGCTTGGTAATTAGTGCAATATCAGGACAGAGGTGCAGGTTTGGTGCGAACCTGGGCAGGGAGGAGCCATAGCTGCTCAAGGGGGAAGAAGGAAGAAACAAAGAGGTGAGGTGTGTTTGTGGAATATGGATGAATGTGATCACCTGCTGTGAGCATGTGGAAGAGTGCATTTACTCCTGTGACAATGCATAGGGCACTAGGTTGATTAAAGCCTACAGGAGGTACAACTCTAAAGAAACTGGTGTGAAGATAGAAGTTACTTTCTCCCCTGCTCAATCCACAGCCGTATAGCCAAGACGCTGTTGTCTTCTTTCTGGAAGTTGACAGCATTATTGTTTGGGATGCGTGTTAGCCAGAACAGATACCCTTCTACCTTCTGCTGTGAAAACCTTTGTCTTGCAGTAAGACTGACAGAAGCAGCCATGTTCAGTTCCCTCAGCCCCTCGTTTCTCTGGGAGCAAGCCTAGGAACAGTGGTTGTGCAGTCACTGGAAGTATCGTAGGACAGGTCTACGCTTTCTGTGCAGGGTGATGGTGCTGGCAGCCCAGCTTGTGGCCCGGGTGATTGAACAGCAGTACTGCACAAGCCTGTGGTGCTCACAGGGTGGCTGTGTTTTCCAGAACTATTGGAGCTTTGTGGTTTCTCTTGCCATGGGTATGTTTGTGATAAAGACTGAGCACACAGTGCTCAAAGGCATCAAGTCAGGGCAGCTCAGCGAGTTATTAAATGAGAGCCTTGCCTCGCTCCCTGTGCACCCATGCTCCTGCTGGGAGGTCACACATTAGTGAAATCTGTCTTTAACTCAGTTTGTGTAAGAGCACGCGCTTGAATACTTGTGACAGGTGGGTGGGATAGTGCTTACTTCCACCGTGTGATACACACCCATGTCCTTAAACTTCATGTTCAGCTGGTTGTTCATCTTGCAAGTTTTCTGGGTTGCGAGAGCAGAGCAGTGTGAAGTCTGGAAAGTGCTGAAGGCTTGTCAGAGCTCAGAACAGAAGATAAGGCTGCAAAACCTTGAACGTGGAACGTGTGAAGCTCCTTAAAGCACTGGCTTTGGGCTGATGGGCCAGGGGTTAGTTTGGTCCCTGCTGATAGCATGTGGACTTGTTTATCCTGCAAGAACTGCTGTGGATGTAATTTTTGGGTCACCTCCTGCTGGTTTTATGCTTTATTATGCAGTACTAATGTAAAGAAATTTGTTGAGTTTTATGCGTATTTTTTATTTTGTACAGATTTTAATTCTGTGGCTTGTTTGGGGATGATGTGATGTAATGGTCATAGACCAGGCCAAGGTAAACAGGCTTTGTATATTAATGTTACATAGATTGCATGCTAGTAAAGTCAGTGAGGGTTGTGTTTCCAGTTTTGTCCCTTGTACTTCTCCTTTCCCAGAACCTTCCCTTCCCCTCTCCCTGCCCCTTTTTAATTTACATGTTTAAATGGGGGTGGAGAATGGGGGAGGATGCCTCAGTATTTCAAACAGGTGTGCAACATCTCGTCACTGAGTTCTGCTGCCACAGCTGAAGGTGTTCGGCATCACAGGCTGTTCAGTCAGCGGTGTGTATCCATGAGAGAGGTCGGGGAAGGAGACACTCCAGAATAGCCCAAAGAGTGCTATACAGCCAAAATGAGTAAGTTTCTCCCTTTGTGAGAGCTGCCTTAGCCCAGGCAGCTGTTTTCATTGTGCACAGAAATCAGTCAGCATCCTCTAGTTATGTATTTTGCTTCGGTTTGCTGTTTCAGAGATTTCTTCATACTCTTGGCCCCAGGGCCAAAGTTATTAACTAGAGGAGGTCCAGCCCGCTGTGTCCCCACCTAGTGCTGAAGCAGGTTATTTTGTTGCCTTTGTTCTAGCTTAAGAGAGATGGCTGAGGTTGCATGTCTCACCCCTTATTCCCTGCTCCCTTCTCTTCCCCCACCTGCCCCAGTGATGGATTCATGTTCTTTGTTTCTCTCACTGGCTCTTGCAGCAGAGAGCTGAGAGGAGCAGAAGGCAAGCAACAAGTTTTGCGCTTGAGCATCCTGCTGTTGTGCCCATGCCCGCTGGCTGAAGCAGGCACCAGAGAGCTGAAGCAATGCCTGACGGGTGAGACACAGGCAGATACCCATGCACTGAAGAGCCATTGCTCTCACTAGAGGACAAGAGGTGCAGCACGGCCCCAGGATAGATGGCAGAGCTTGGTGTGTGTTACCAGGAGGCTGACCATGGCGCTGAGACTCAGCTTGTTCTTGCGGTTCGTGATAAGAGGAACAAGTGACTTGGGTGTTCCTGAAAGTGGCTGGAGATTGCTGCTGATTCGAACCATAGCTCCCCACAGTGGTCTGTGGCTGGGTGGCTTACCAAAGAGTGCCAGGAAGGCTTAGACCCAGCTAGTACTTGCTAGAGCAATTTTTTCTCCTTCCACAGCTCCTGGGCATTTTCTTTCTTTTTGCTGCTGAGGGTTCTTGGTGACAGCCAAAGTTGATATTGCCAGTGATGTAGCTTCTGAAAAGTGGCAGTTTTATCTAGGATGTTTCATTTAATCATGAAAAGACAGTGAGGGAGCAGCAGAATTGATGCTCCTTTTTGGGCAGAGGGTAGGCTGCCTGCCTGGTGTGTATGTGCACATCACTGACTGGCGGTGGCAGAGGGTTGTGCACTGGTGCAAACTGTTGTGCTTCTGTGGTGTGTCCCACCTGTGCTTGATGGCAACTTAACGCTGTGCTCTTCCCAGCAACTTCTGCCACTTCCTAGCAAGTGCTGCAGACGTGCCTCTCTGCTAGAAATGAGCTCTCTTTTTATTAATTATGTCTCTGGTCTTCAGGCATAAATCAAAAGATAAACTTCCATGGTTTCCTTTCTGCAAAAGATGGGACTTTATGCAGGGTAAATTGGGAGCATTTACAGGGCTTCTCCTCCCAGAGGTGGACTAGGACATCTTGTGAAACAGGTGGCTCTGTGTTCTCTGCAGGGCAACTTGTTGGACGTTGCTAGAGAATAATGTTGGAAAGGCAATGGCCCTGTGGCTCCTACTGGGAGCACTGAGAGCGTAGAGTCACTGACTGAGCACGGCACTATTTCAGGAAGCACTACATACTCCATGCAGAGACTTCTGTTCCTCGGGTGACCACAGTGGCAGTGAGAAACATACAACGCTGTTACATTCGCTAAGGCAAGTAGCTACAATCCTATTCTCTAGAGAAGATGGTGGTGTAAACTGAGCACTAGCAGGTAGATAATGGGCTATAGCTTACAGGGTGCCACTTTTAAGCGTTTACTGTGGTTACAGATCTAGTCACCTTCCCCCCACCTTTTGGCATTTCTCAGTATTAGGCACTGTCACATTTTGTGGCTAATGGTATTACACAGAAGTCAGAATAGTGCAAGAAGGGAACAGTTTGTGGGTTTTTCTTTTTTTTTGGGGGGGGGGGGGGGTGGGTTTGTGGTCCCTTTTCCTCCCCGGAGGCGGA